CCGAGTTAAGAGGGTGGGGGGGGGCGCATCATGGGCTGTCTCTTATACACATCTAGATGTGTATAAGAGCCACCTGTACACGACGCTCCGCCATAACCGCGCCGACTGAATTGCTCCAGCAACGGTTGCTGCTCGTTCTTTTTGAATCCCTTCAGATCTAACATCCTGATGAAATCCTGCGCCGAACCATCTGGTAATAGGGCGCGAAACGTATCCGCAATCGTCTCGGAAGGAGAGAGAATCACCTTCAACAACGCCTCCGCTTTTCCCATCTCTCTGCTCACGTACTTTGCGTAATTGGACGGCACTGTGCTCTGGCCTCCCAGGGATGGCAGCTCCAGCAGCGCCGTCTTGACCGCCTGCGTGTCCAAAAGCATTTGCTGCGCGCCAGTTTCCGAAATCCGCTTGCACTTGAAGATTCCCGCGTAAAATTTTGGCGCGAACGACGCCGCCAACTTGTCCATGAAGAAGAGGTAATTTATCCCCGACAGCAACCCCGCTATCACAGGCGAGCTGCTCGAAAAGATTGCGTTTATGCCGTTTACATACTCGGACTGATCGCCCACCGCTTCCAAATTCGCCCAAGGAACCTTCGTCATATTCTGTAACTCCGCGTCTAATCTCGTCTCCATACCAATTACCAAGATAGACAAGGCTCTCGTGATGACCCCTGTGAACTCCTCTTCCTCTTCTTGCATATCGATTCTCTCAGCGAATTGAGGATCGATTACCTTAGCGATGCTTTCGGCGAGTTTGCCCGTCGTTTCGTGGCAGTACTCCGCCGTGTTGATGATATAGCAAATCACTTTTTCGTCTTTTTCGGACACTCTGACTTGCTGCCAGTCCGTTCCGGCGGCGGCTGCGATGATACCGCTAGGGACGGTGGCTTTGGGAAATCTGGCAGTCAATTTACCCGCGTAGGCGCGAAGAACACGCTGGAATACCTTGAAAAGATTAAACAGGGTTTGGTTCTTGGTGAGCGCGCTGCATCGTTTCAGACTGCGCTTGATGTGAAGGAAGATCTGCGTGCTGCTGGACAAGATGTTAGTCTGGGTTCCATCCTCCACACCCCACGTCTCCTCCTGGACTAGTTTCTCTAGGGTTTCCATCAACGTCTTCTCTTCCAAGTCGACGTACACGCTGAGATGGGCCTCGAAACACGACGAGATAACACCGCGGAACGTGAATCGTGAGGGAGTGATGGCTCCGCCACCGGACGGAGAGTAGGAGGAGGAGGAGGAGGAGGAGGGTGCTAGTGCTCCCCCACCTTCCCCTTGCTGCGGTTTCCCGTTACTACCGGTAGCAACACCACTAGCAGAAGCGGCACCAGCAGAAGAAGAAGAAGCCGAATCGCCGGCGCGAAAGGCGGCGCTCTCGGCGGACTGACCACTTCCCTCCTTGCGTTTCTTCTCGTACTTCTTCTTCACCATCCTCACCCGCCCATCCACCCCGTCCACGTCATCGTTATCCCCACCAACGACCGGTCCTCCATCATCCCCCTCTCCTCCTCCTCCTCCTGCTGCTGCTCCCGCCCCCCCCCCCCCCGCAAAACCGCTCCCCCGGCTCCCTTCTCTGCCATCTCCTCCTCCTCCCCCCGACGCGAACCTCTCCTCCAACTCCCTCTCGAAATCCAGCGTGCTCTGCAGCGCTTGCAACAGGGTTGCCACGTCAGCAGGTCTGTCCTTCATCCCATCCATGATCTCCATCAACTGCGCTCTTGTCACTTTGCAAAACTGCTGGCACAGCAGGAACGGCACCCTCCACGACGCTGGAAACACCTGCCATACCTCCTCATTGGCGCGCAGCTGCTTCTTTATCCAAGCATACCGCCGCTCTGCTTTCTCCAGCTTCGCTACCTCCAACGTACCCTGGAATATCTGTTGATAAGCCGTCAGCTCCTTGGAACAGAACCCACTAATTAGCTCTTCCTTGACGTCAGGTTCTAAGGCGTCCACGACCAAGCAGGCCTCCGCCAGCTGCTGCTGCAGCTGCCCGTTCTCGCGGATCCCCTGCACGCCGAAGCTGGAGAAGTCCGAGAAGATGTGCGACTTTATCATCTGCTTGATGTTTGCAAACTTCTCCCGAAGTTCGTTGATCTTTGGAATCTCCTTGTACGACTCGAAGTGGCTGCACAACTGATTCACCGCCTCTAATTGCCCAGCCGCGTCCTTGTATTGCCGCTTGGAAGCCATCACCTGGAGTTGATCTACGGCGGAGACAAGCATGGCAAGACGATGCAGGGCGGTGATTGTCGTGGTGATATGCTTCTTCGCGAAATCGAGCTTCTTGATATCCCTACAAATTTCTTGCACCATGACCTCGCTTTGCTCCGCCTTCACTTTGATCTCTCGGATCTTGAGAAACAGTTCTTGAATCGCATTGGTCGCGGCGGCAAGGTCTTCCCTAGCTTTCGTCCCGGACGAGCTCTGTTGTCGTACTGCCGCCAGAATCTCCGTATCCACCCGCCTTATCTTGTGCCATAACCGATGGATCAACGGCTCTACAGCCACCAACGAAGACTCGTTTGGAAACATCTGATTGATGAAATCGACGGTGTTGAAATCTGGCCTGTCTAACAAAGCCGTCACCGCCGGTTGCTGCTGCTGCTGCAGCGGCTGAGACTGCTGAACAGCGGTAATCGCCGAAGAGCTGCTTGCTGCAACACCGGCATTGCCACTTTCACTTGCAGTGATAACTCCTCCTCCTCCTCCTCCTCCCGCTGCTGCTGCTGCTGCTGCTCCCTGCCTTGGACGGAGGCCATCGCTCCTTCCAACAGCATCAGCCGGATGGTTAGGCCGACCTCCCGCCTGCTGCGCCATGGCTGACAGTCCAGACACGACCGATGACGATGTTGAAGACGACGGTAAGGAGAGAGAGGTAGAGGAGAAAGAAAAGGAGGAAGGTGAAGAAGAAAAGCGCGAGGAGGAAGAAGGGCTGGTCGACCGAGGTGCCGCTGCTGATGATGACGACGAGGCGGAGGAGAAGGAGGAGTAGGAAGTTAAAGATACCGATACCGTCTTCCCTACTCCCTTTTGCCCCCCCGGTAAGTCCATTCCCCTTCCCCCCACCACAGCCGTTGCCATATGCCTGGTTAGGAAGGTGGACGAGGGACTCTACACCTAATAAGACACTCGATCAATCAATCACTTCACCAATCAATCACTTCATCAATCAATCACTTCACCAATCAATCAAGCAATCAATCGAATGGATCGATGGATCGATCCGTCAAGAAGGAAAGTGGATACGGGTTCATTCGGTTGTTTTTTTTAAGCCCAACTAAATACGGACATAACCGGTACATTGATTGATTGGCAAGAAGACAAGAAAAAATCCAATCCTTAGCACAGACGACTGGCAAAAATGTCTGTCTGGATTTCAATGAATGCGAGAGCTTTTCTGCTCCGCATACGCTGAGAGGGCATACTCACACTGGGACTTTTTGAGCTTCTGTGTGGACGTAATTGCGGTCAGGCGCGTCCACACCTGGTCGGGAACGCTGTGATATACGTCCAAGTCCCAGTGCGAGTCCGCCATAAGACTGCAGCGCAATGATTGCAAAGAGAGAGAGAGAGAGAGAGAGAGAGACAGAAAAAGAGACAGAGAGAGGGAGAGAACTAAAAAACACAGCAGCAGCTGTACACAACGGCCCGCACTCCACTCATCGAGTACCTGGACGAAAAGACAGATACAATACAGGAAGAGAAAGAACGCTACCGCCAAGTCAAGTTAGCGGGCGCCACAGATCACGGCCACGTGGCAAGTAATTGCCACGTGGCCAACGAGAACCGGTGTGAAACCGCTAACAATTTTTCTTCTTTTTTCGGAAACCGCTAACAATGCGCCACGTGGCGCTGGCAACCAAATAAAAAGCGAATAAGCATAATAAACGGCTATTGCATGTCAACCAATAGATAGATTGCGTTGCAGAAACCTTTCATCTGACTGGATCCCTACCGGGACCAGCGATTGCCTCCCGGTTCAGACCCACCAGGACGAAAGCGCTGCCGGCGACCGCCGCTGGCAATTGCGAGGACCGGCAATGGCACAGGCTATGGGTGACGGAGTGGTCGCTGGCGACAATTACCGCCAAACTCAGTAAGGGCGCCAGCGACCGACCGGTCCGTCGACGTGTAACTTTTCGTGTCCGCCCGCCATCCTCCCCGTTCGGGCGACCACAAACTACAACCACAGACCGTACAGGCTTCAGACAGGGCGACCTGACCACCGTTGACTTTGACGGGTGACTTTGACTAACCTAGTGGCCCACATGAGACCACACATCTACGAATATTTACCCCCTTCATTCCTCCTCCCTCTCTCCCCCTCTTACCCACCCCCATCCTTCCAGTGAATGTGGCACCTTCCTCTGAGAACCTGCTGGAAAGGGGAAATTCCGTGCAGGCCCCTGTCAAAAGCCGTATGACCCGTATGACCCTATGAATGCTCATACCCTATGAATGCATTTGTGGCCAGGGGACAAACTAAGGACATGAGAAAGCACCAGTCAGGACATCTAGGCTGTAGGCATATGTCAGAATGCACCCAGCTTGCTGCTCAAACAGGTACATTCTGACACACTGTGGAAATAAAGTAAATCCATTGACTTGCCATGAGGGCAAGGTTGCGCAGCCCGTAATTGGTATGTTGACGTAATTGGTATGTTGATGTGGTTGGGATAAGGTAAGGTAGTGATTTTCCGCATGGTTGTTTGGAAACAAAGACTACCACCAGTACTTCCTAAAGCCACGACTTTAGGAAACGTAGGGGCCACTACAGAAGTGCCCAAATTCATCCGACTAGAAGCGTTTCTACTCCATTTTTTTCCGCGGGCGATAGCTCGGCCAAGTGCGGGTGGTTTTCGAGTTGTTAAAGTACGATGTGAAAAGTAGGTAGTGAGAGAGTGCATTTTGGGGGATGGGTTTGAAGGGGGTGGGCCACAAAGTGGTGGTTGGAAATAGATTTAAATTAGGGGAGAGGGGGGAAACACCCATTGTGAGAGTGTTCCTGGGGATGAGGTAGAGGCCATGAAATGAGAGTACCAGAGCGCGCCTTTAGGGTCATAGTTTTTTCCCCCCCTTACTAAGCTATATATTCATCTCTCAATTCATGTTTCAATACCTATCTACCAGTACTCCTAAGGCTATACAGGGGACCCCTGCCAGCATAGCTACTCCACAATGATTTTTTGCACTGTTGCTTGATGTCCTAGTGGTTTAGGGTGCAGGGTAAGGGCCGCTGGTGGGGCCTCCACTAACACAAAGTAGCTGGACCTCCCTTTTCATCTTCTCTCACCCCTATCAGTAGCAGCAGTGTTTAACGCCAACACCCTCCCACACACCACACACAACTCAATCACACACACCATCACACCCATGTTGGATTAAAGACCCTTTTAATACTGACCAGGAGGAGCAAGCCGACTCGCATTGACTTACCGTGAGGGCACGGGTGAGCAGCCCGTAGTTTGTTTGTTGATGTTGTTTGTCTTGTTCGCTATACACAACTCCAAGTGTGTGTGTGTGTGTGTGTGTGTGTGTGTGTGTGTGTGTGTGTGTGTGTGTGTGTGTGTGTGTGTGTGTGTGTGCGTCTGTGCGCACGTGTGTATGTATGTGAGAGTGAGTGTGTGTATACGTAAGAGTACGTGTGCATGCGCATGCGTGTGACAAAGAGAGAGAGAGAGGCCCATTGAAATTAAAATGTGAGCATATGTGTGTGTTTGTGTGTGTGTGTGAGAGAGAGAGAGAGAGAGAGAGGGAGAGAGAGAGAGAAAGAGAGAGAGCCGCTTCGTCTCTGAATGTGCGTGCGTGTGACAGAGAGAGAGAGAGAGGCCCATTGAAATTGAAATATGAGCATATGTGTGTGTTTGTGTGTGTGTGTGTGTGAGAGAGAGAGAGAGGGAGAGAGAGAGAAAGAGAGAGAGCTGCTTCGTCTCTGAATCTGACGCAGTGAGAAGTCCAAATTCATAAGAAAACTCAAGTGGAAGGGAGCGCCCGCTGGGCCGGAGTGGACTGGCGGGGCCTGAAAGATGCACGCCTGGGGCGCACCATTTCGGCTTTTCCAAAGCTCATGACCTGGTGTCTGTGCCTCTTCGTTTTTTCCTCATCTCACGACCGCTCCAAAATAGCAGTCCTTCGCGTGTCACGCCCCCTTGCTAAGACCTCAAACAAAAAACCCACCCTCCTAAATGACCAACGTTGAACGTTGAATTGACGTTGAAGGACTCGAGGGCCTAATATGCAACTCTGACGGGTTGTGAACTTAAGGGATTGCATGTTGCCCCATGCCCTAGTGGTTTACAGTGCAGGGTTGGGGGTTGCCGGTTGGGGCCCTGCTAACACAAAGTAGCTTCACCTCACTTTTCATTTTCCCCCACCCCCATTAAGTAACACCAGTACCCACCCCCATCAAGTAACACGAGTATCTAAGGCCAACACTCTCTCGCATGCCACACAAAACCTACTCACAAACACACAGACACTTACACCCATGTTGGCTAAAGACCCTACTAATACTGACCAGGGGGAGCAAGCCGACCATATGAGCCAACTCTCTCTCTCTCTCTCTCTCTCTCTCTCTCTCTCTCTCTCTCTCTCTCTCTCTCTCTC